TTGAAATGCTTGAGCGTGTTCAGCGGAGGGTCACTAAGATTCCTTTAGAGATGAGGAATTTGCCATACGAGGATCGACTGCAAAGGCTTGGTCTAACAACTCTTCGTGAACGGAGAATTCGTGGCGATGTCATCGAGACATTCAAGATTACAAGTGGTTACTATGGATGCGTCATGAACATCTTCCATATCAGTGAAACGCACAACCTTAGGGGACATAACAAAAAATTGGATAAAGAACGCTGTAATAAGCTCTTAAGGCGGAACTTTATTACAAATAGAGTAGTGTTGGAACAGGCCCCAGTATGATACAGTGAATGCTACAAGTGTCAATACATTTAAGAATAGACTTGATGTGGAAATGAAGAGCTGGAACAACCTTTTTATTCAATACATGTGATCGTAAACTGTGATGTTAATTTTGATTTGTGATTTGTTTTTTAATTGAATGTACGCAGTGCAATATTTATTTATTTATTTTTACAACTGGGATAGATAAATGTGATTATGTTGATTCAATAGTCTCATCGGGTTTTACCCGCCTACTGTTGATTTTTGTAATAATAATAATAATAATAATTATTCATCTCCATAAAGAGTTGTGAAACCAGCAGTTTATACATTTCTAGTCTGCACCAACAACAAGCATCTCTAGCAAACAACTATACCGGGTGCGTCTCAAAAGTGGCTCACCCCTACAACTTTTTTATTTTTTCAGATAAAAAAGACGAAATGTAGTATGTTAGTATATGCTATAAATTGGAATTGATTCACGTATTCAATTTTATTGTTTTTTGTCACTTTCTGTTTCACCGGAAATGACTACAACTTATTTGATTTTTAAATTGCGCCCTCGGTATTTTTTTATTTCATTTGATAGAAAATGGCACTCTGAATAGAATGGCATATCATATGTCAACTTTTTTATTATATTATTTTCTCATATGGTTTATTTGAAATTGTAACATGCGGTTCATAACAATAATTTGACTCGAAATACCAAGTGTGTGGTACCAAATTATTCGTAAAAAATACTTTTTCCAAATATGCTAATGAGCCACCCTCGTTTCATTTGAAAAAAATGAGATATGATCAAAAATACGATTTGTGCATATTTCAATCGATCAGGACAAGACACAAAAAACATTAGACGATCAAATCTATTTTTCCAAGGCTCTCTGAATAAAAATTAGTGTTTTTTATTTTTAACACAACCATAGCACTTTAGATTGAAATTTAAAATAAGATTTTTTTAAAGCAAAAATGTCAAAAGTTGACATATGACATGTCATTCTATTCAGAGTGTCATTTTCTATCAAATAAAGTAAAAAAATACCGAGGGTACCATTTAAAAATCAAAAGTTGTAGTCATTTCCGGTGAAACGGGAAGTGACTAAAAACAATTGAATACGTCAATCAGTCCCAATTTACGTCATATACTAACTCGTTTTCTTATCTGAAATCTATCTTCATATACCAAATCTCGTTTTTTTATCTGAAAAAATAAAAAAGTTATAGGTGAGACGCACCTGGTATAGAAAGAATATAATGAAACACTGTATAATTTGAAAGCATGCAATGCTAAAAAATTACTTTTTCAGCTTATAACATAACCTAAAAATGTTATTAGTATTAGTAATTTTATGGTATTAAATCCCAATAAAACCGTTTCTGCATAAAAATACCGCTTTTATAACATTATTATCAGATGTTTTTTCATAGAGTAAACTATTGAATAAATATTGCATCATGTCTCTGTCTCGTTCTCGACCGAGAATTTATTTTTCTCTCTGTCTTGGTCTCGGCCGAGACTAAAAATCCAGGTTCGGTCGGACCTTAGTGAATTATAAAAAATCGCATTATCTACGAAAGCCCGAGGAGCTGGAAGAAGGTATAAGTAATACAATTTCATTTGAATTTAGGACATTTAATTTTCATATGTCATGCTTTGCAAACTATATATTTGTACCGTATGATCGAAAAAAAATTGTGTCCAGTTGACTTGGAAATGACAATCGATGACATTCCCCATATAATTTTACATATAAAATGACAGCGATCTTTATTTCATAGCCTGCGCTGACCCCGTTTTTTTTTCAACCATATTGTATTAAGCCAAATGACATTAAAAAATTATTTAGACTCTTTACTTTTTTAGCATTTAAATATGCCGCACTTACAGTAACTTTTACCCTCAAAATTTCATTCGAGTCACTAAAAGCACTTGCAAGTAAATTGTAATAAATCGATAAAAAAAACGAATGCTTTAATCCCCTGTAGCTACTAAACAGAAAAGCAGAATCGGACTTATGCTAATATTAAAAATAAATCTTATTTCTACGTGAGGAATCTCCCCACGAGAGAAAGTACATGCTTTTTGAAACACCCTGTTTGAAGGGCAATGGGGAAAAATATGATAAGCGCCATTTTACTAATTTTACATGACAGCACTGGACGGCTCGTTATCAGGTTCTTTCCGCGTATCCCATATTTTTAATAGGCATATGGAATGGTTAGAATTAAAATTGACCAAGTTCAATTTCCTAGTATTTTAAGATAATCGTTTTTATACCTTTATACAGGGTGTTTCAAAGAACATGTGCCATCTCTCGTGGGGAGATTCTTCACGTAAAAATAAGATTTATTTTTCATATCAACATAGGTCCGATTCTGCTTTGTTTCATAGCTACAGGGTGTTAAAGTTTTAATATTTTTTCGGTTTATTATAATGTTCTTATTATAGTCTAAGAGCTAGCAACGTTTTCGAGAAAGTATTTTAAGACGTCTGGCTCTGATATATCTTTTACTATGCTCTCTGGAACAGCATGTGGCCCGTCTAGCTGCCGATACCCGTTGCGTTTGCTACTGCGCATCGGAAGAAGATCCTATATTTTTTATTAATTTAGTCCTATAAATTCTAGTATTGAATAAAAATCGAACATGTCTCCATAGCGCAGTGCGTAGAGTTTCCGACCACGAACCGAAGATTCAAGTCCGGGTCAGGTCAAAGAATTTTTTATTTTATTTTTGTTTATATTCTGATAGTAAAGTATTAAATAATTCTGGAAATTAAAAAAAAAACAAATATTTAATACTTTACTATCATAATATAAACGAAAATAAAAATAAAAAAGTCTTTGACCTGACCCGGATATGAACTCTGAATCTTCGGTTCGTGTTCGGAAACTCTACGCACTGCGCTATGGAGACATGTTCGATTTATATTCAGTACTAGAATTTAAAGGACTAATAAAAATATAGGATCTTCTTTCAATGCGCAGTAGGGAACGCAACGTTTACCGGCAGCCAGATGGGCCGCATGCTGTTCTAGAGAGCATAGTAAAAGATGTATCAAAGAGCCAGACGTCTTAAAATACTTGTTTTTCCGACGTTGCTAGCTCTTGTACTATTATATCTATTAATTATAAGTACTTTAAGCGTTTCGTATGAAATTTTGAGAGTAAAAGTTACTATAAATGCTCGTATAAATGCGACATATTTTAAAACTAAAAAAGTGTCCAAATATTCACCAGGGACGTGCATATGGGTTATCACTGGGATAATATTTTCTAAAAAAAGGATGTACGCCGCTGACTTTTTTTCTTTTGTTAGCGAAATAGTGTAAGCAGTTTAATGCCGAAAAGTTGTTTCTTGATATTTTGTCGGTTTCGGCTTCTTTGATGAGATAAACGCAATTTTATTAATTTGCCTTGATTCAAATCTAATAGCAGCCTTTAAAAAATTTTAATATAATTAACTTACGAAAGTCTTAAATAAGTACTCATTGATTCCGCATCAAAAAATATGAAAAAAAGTTCCTGTAAACATAGGTATGGAAATGCATAGTTTTAGAATTACAAGATCAAATTAGTTTTTTTGTAATTATCCTAAATAATATTATTTTTTTATTTGAAATTGCTGTAGGTTGGACTAATTGTAATAATAACTAATAGTTATAATATTTAATAATAAATTAGTTAAAATATATAATTTATTAATTTTATTTGAATTTTATTAATAGTTGTGATTAATAAAATTGCGTTTATCTCATCAAGGAGACCGAATTCGACAAAATATCAAGAGATAACTTTTAATTGGCATTAAACGGTCTACACAATTTTGAAGTCAGTGGCGCACATGTTTTTTTTTGAAAGTATTCCAGTGATAACCCATATGCACGTCCCTGGTGAATATGTCGACACTTTTTAAGCATTAAAATATGTAGCATTTATAGTAACTTTTACCCTCAAAAATTCATTCGAATAACTAAAAGTACTTGAAAGAAAATTATAATAAATCCAGAGATTATTAAGACTTTAACACCCTGTAGCTACGAAACAAAGCAGAATCGGACCTATGTTGATATGAAAAATAAATCTTATTTTTACGTGAGGAATCTCCCCACTAGAGATGGCACATATTTTTTGAATCACCCTGTATAATATAATTTTTTTCCAGCGGAGAAATAAATTAAGACATATTTATCGCATAAAGCAGCTATAGCCTATTTATCCAACTTGCTTTATTTTAATTAAGTAACATTAAAAAAACGTTAACTCCCATTTTCTTCATAATTACCTTTTAGGACTTGATTCGGTTCACTTCTGAACCCCTCATATATCATTAGCAGAGTTTATACATTTTATAGGAATCATTTAGACCTACTATAATATTGTAAAATCCTAAAATTAAGAAATTGGCGGTTATCAAGTTTTTCCCCTGGACCCTTCATTTTTTTATATTCTGTATAAATAAGAATTCAAATAAAAACACGCCTGACCAAGCAGGCTTTGACAAACAAAATGTTGACGTTGACAACCAAAATTATTTATTTAATTTTGCTTAACAATATGAACCGAGATAATATAATGGTCCAATTCCTTCCAGTTTTCTGTTCCTCTTACTGCCTATAGACTAGTTATTGGTATATTAATATATAAAGTAGAATTTTGTGTAGGAATTTTTGAGGTAATACTGATTTTTTGTACAATAAATTTTTAGGTTGATAACTGGGCAGATAATGAAGCTCTCCGTAACTCAAGCGAGAGACCTACATATCGTAGGTCCTTCTCAGAATTGTCATCTTCATCTAATTTCATTCCAAATATAAGCCGAAGGAGTCTCAACAGTGATATCTTGCATTTAAACGTTCCAAAGTCGAGTAATTCCATGACTGACATTCAGTCAACACAGTCGCAGCATTCCCATGTATTTAGTGGATTAACGAGAGATCTCAGTATGTCTAGAGGTACCATAGTATTAAAATTTCGTTTAAGCATACGAAATAATTTGATTTTTATTACAGGTAAAAATTTAAATCGTAGTACAAGTGATATACATGAAGAAACCATAAACGGGACTTTATATACGTATATTGGTATGATAGATCCAGAGAAAGAAAAAACTCATTTTTATGAGAACCAGAGTATTATAAATGCTTACAGACGGACAGGAAATTTTGATATGAATCGACATGAGAAAATGTAAGTGTATTATATGATTGGTTTTATGCCATCTGCAATAGTTTGAAATATTGTAAACATAAAGAAATGCATGCACATTGTTTATTGCGTCTTTGTATGAGATGATAGAATAATATAGGTATATAGCCATGGTACAAAGAATACAAGGTATGATATTGCGCAGGTTGGTCGCTACGTCACAGGTGATAACAGGCGCTATTGGTCAGCACGCTCCGCGCGCCAGTTCAAATCGTCAAGATATTTTTATAAACCTGTTTTTTTGTTTATATACCGTCATTGAATTATCGCTAAGCAAGTTACTGTGGAGCAGTGCGTAAGGAGTCGGGTTAGAAAGCGAGAGACCGGAGTTCGAAACTCGGCCGGGACATAACTTTTTATTTATTTTTTTAAATACTGTTGTATTCTATAGTTTATTTTTGTAGTATAAAAAAAGAACTATTTATTCTGTTATTTTTTAATCTCCGTTATTAATATAAATTGATTGTTGGTACAATACCTCATTTAATATAAAATAATATTCTACTTTTTGAAATGTTGTACCTAAAAGTAATATATTTTTAGTGATATACCATATTGTAAACTATTTAATATTTCAGTCACTTAAAAAGTTAATTTGCATTGAATAATTGTCTACCATTAAAGGAAATTTGAGCTATAATATAATCCTCGATGGGCATATTCTGGGTATGCAAATACTTCATCTAAATTTTGGGTGTCGTTCAACCAATTTATTCTCAAAACCTGAAACATCTACATATAAAAAAAAGCACAGGTCACTAATTATAATAAACTTCACCCTTGGAATTACTTCTATCACAATTACAATACGTTCATCTGCATTGGCATTTTCTACTTTTCGATGGGAAACAATAAACTTCCCAGCATTTTTTAAATGATGTAATAATTCCTCTTGTGGTTACTTTTCCATAGATAACCTCATCTCTGTCCTCATGTGAATTCAGAGGCAATGAACATGAAAATTATTTACCATAAACATCGCAAACTAAAAACCTAATAAACAATTTTATACCGAATATAGAAATAAATTTAGTATTCTTACCTAAGGCTATTATCGACCAAATCCATGTTAATAGGTAATTATTATTTTTAAATATATTTTTGGAACTGCTGCTTTTAGTAATTATTAAATTAAATGAACTAAAAAGTCTTAAAAATAAACAATTCTTAACCATAACCCCAAAAAATGCAGATCTCCTGTCAACTTTCTTTATTTTTTATTTATTCATTATTTTCATAATGACGTCACAGGTGGTATGCGCGAACTGAACGAAATTGGAGCCGCTATCGATCATACCTTGTATTCTTTGTACCATGGTATATAGCTGTATTTTACACTGATTACTTAATTTTCGATTTAAAGTGGACTTTTATCTTTTTTCCATTGGCTCTTCATATAGTTTATTTTACTGTAATGATTTTTAAATGTTTTTGAAACATATCTTTGAAGATTCTGAAAGATTTATCTATATTATTATTGCAGTTTACAAAATTTTTTTGTTTAAGAATGTCTAACCACAGTTACTCTGTATTTTCATTATTAACATGAGTAAGAATTATAACTGAATTAATCTAAACAATCTTATTGTGGACTAATAGTATACTAAACTGCCCGTCAAATTAAATACCACAGCGATTTTTTTACTCATTTTCAACGAGTTGTAACTTTGAAAAAAATGGACCGATTTTGTTGATTTTTTTAGCATATTAAAGATCGTTTTTCGTAGATTGATTTGATTTATCTAAATTTTGTATGAGATTTAGTTTTTTATGATATACCTACAGGGTGTGAAAAAAAGGAATGTAATTTTTGTGTTCCTGCCATTTTGCCCAAAAAAAATACCTAGAATTATAAGAGTTCTGGGTATAGCTAAGACTAATATCTCGGGACGTATTTGGAATTTTTACGATAACTCATCTGGAATAAATGATAATCAATTTTTACTCTAACTTGTATTTTTTCTACCTTTCTGAAGAGATGCTAACAAAATTGAAATTAACTTTAAAATTGTAGGATATTCCTTATTTTTACAATGTGAAATTAAAAAAAATGATTTAACTAACGCAGTTTAATACAGGATCTCTTAAAAATACGACCAGCGAAAAAGTAAAATTATTTTTTTAACCTTATGGGCTGTTAAGTTCAGAATATTCGGTCCATTTTTTTTTTCAATGTTACAACTCCTTGAAAATGAGTAAAAAAAATCGCTGTGGTATTTAATTTGACGGGCAGTTTAGTAGAAATTCGAAAGGTTTTTGCATAGGGACAGTTAGCCGCCATATTTGTAAATAAAAATTCTACATTTTGTTTTCAAAAAGTAGAGGTTTTTCGTCAAGGTAAACGTAAAAAGGGAAATAAATAGTTTTGCTTCAAGCGATTAGTTTGAAGGTAAAAGTTTTAATTTTTTTATTGTTGAAAAGAATCTGCTAAAAACTTAAGTAAAAAAAAAGGATTTACTTTTTAAAAACGGAATCTAGGTTTATAGCAACTTTTCTTACTCGTATCTGTTCGCCCTGCACACAGCTTGCAACGTATTTGTGTTATTATGATGTATTGAAATATACGTGTGAAAGGCAGCGGCAGGTGATAGAACTTATACAGGGTGATGCACGGCTGTGACACGCTAGACGTTTATGGAGAACCGGTTATAGGATTTTTTTGAAAATTTGGATTTTTGCACAAAAGCACCTGCTCCATCTGTCTAAATTATTTTCAACGTTATAGTGTTCCCGCTTCTACTAAAAGTGGTAGCATCTTTGTTATTTTAAATGGAATACCCGGTATATTATTATATTTTTTGAAACTACTTCCATATCTCAACATTTTTCTATTATACTAACCTATACCAATATCTAACCGTTTTCGAGATAAAAATAAAACGTGTAAATCTGACAAAACATGATCTTGGATAAGCATTGGTTAAATCATAAATTCGGCATATTGAAAGCTGAAATTTGCTTTATAGGTTAAGAATAGTCGACATATTCTATCTATTTAAATCAACTGATTGGATATCAAACAGGGAGGTCAGAAAAAATAATTATTTCTGTTTGTTATAAAATCGTTCAAATTATTGTTATTTTAAATTCAAGTCTATGTATATTATTTAAAAAATCGAAGCCCAATTTTTATTTCGTTTAAAGAAAATCGTTACCATCACAAATATTCAAACTTAAGTATCAATAATTAGAGTTTACCTGCTAAATTTCCAAAATTATCATATAACCAAATTCTCCAAATGAAACTATAATAATAGAATTATTAATTTTTAAATAGCTCTACTTAAGAAACCGGAAGGTTTAGGTATAGGAACATGATATATCGTTGGAAAGCAATTTTATTAGTCTTTTGATTTTTTAAATAATATCTCGAATAATATACATAGAGTTGAATAATGTTGAAACTACTACTTCTACATTCATATTAATAAAAATATTTTACTCCAACTCCATCGACGACCGATTTTTTTTTTTCGTAAAATGATCCTTCTACTATGTAATACATTTTTTGTCTCTTATTTAATACACTTTTTTTTCTCTCGAAAAACGCCACCGGGCATACTTTTTGTGTAACAAAATGTTTTTCAGAAGCTGCGTTACAAAAAATGTTTCTTGTCACATAAAGCTATGTAGGCGCATAAAATCTAGTATGCCCTAATCGAGGCTCTCTAATTGGCGAAAATATCGAATTTTATTTTAGAATCACAAATTATCTTAAAAAATGCAAAGCAATCATCTGCTCTTTCACTTTCACTCTGATTTAGCCACTCTAAACTGTCGTTACGTGCGCAATCCTTGGAAAATCCAGTATGAAATAATTGACCTAAATAACTATATTATAATTTCCTTTAATTATATTATAAGTAATGTATTGTTGTGTTGTTTAGCATGAACACATTGCAAAAAAATAATTCCTTCACTTCATCATGGCCAGGCAATGAAAGAAGGTGGACTTGTCGGCAATGTTCATTTGCTTATAACGATATAAATGCAGACGAATGTGATATATGCAATAGTTTGCGGTCACCGCCTTCTATAAATCAACCTTCTACGATAACGGTTACAGAAGACAGAACAGCTTCTAATGCTATTTTGTAAGTGCATTTCTAATAGTCTTTGAACTTACTATGGGTAATAATTTTTTAAGTGCATAAATATATTAGTAGGTAGTATTCTGCTATTATACTGTTAAGTTTTAGGCGGTATATTGTGTCTATTTATTAATTTTGATTGATTTCAGCGGGTTTGCTTTTAATTTTTCTTAATTAGCGTTTTATAGAGAATATGTACCGTATATATGACACTTAAAAATATTTTGATTTTACTAAAAAAGTATACTCATTATTTTATGAATTTTGAAAATACGATTTGTTTTCGGGATTAGAACATGATATATTATTATATCAGATAACAAACTACAAATACCTATATAGTATTATGGAAGAATTTTTTATGTATTTTTTTATTGCACTGATCTGACAATTCAGAATTTGAATATACTTTTACAGAAAAAAAGTCAAGGATTTTTCTAATGTCTGTTACGTCTGTAGTTTGTTACACGTCTGTAGTTTTGTTACGTCTGCTCAACGGGAAAATTGCTGACAGTGACAGCAAATTATATTTTCTGTCATTTTTTGGACGTTGCGTATTGAAATCTTTCCTTGATTGTTGGAAGACTTTGAGTTGTTAATTTTTTTTAATAACTAATTAAGCTGAAAATATACCTTGCGAATTTTACCATTCGTTCGCATTTATTCGCCTCTGTAGCCATTTGCACCATTGCTATTCGTTCACACCGGGTGGCGTGACATATTTTGACAACGAATTCTTTCTTTTCGCTAACATTTCCACCATTCGAATTCTTTCCATTTCCTGTATGATTATCAATACGTCCACACTGTAACGTTTCCACACAGAATATTATATTATCTGTTATGTTCTTCGTCGGTTCTGTGTGGATAAAAAGTCCAATTTATTTAAATACCATTTATTTAACACTAAGTAACAAAACAATAACGACAAAACACTTAAAAGAACTATTTACAAACTTATTTACTACTATTTACTAATACTACTTTACTGTAAATTACTGCTAATATTCCGGCCTTTTCTTAGCCGCCGTTCTCTGTCTTTCTGGCATAGTCCACTGGTTCTCGAATAGGGGCGGGGCATATTAGTCCGAGAGCTGAGACCGCAACATTTCTTACAGTTGGGGGTTGGTGTTGCAACAACAACATAAACACTGGACGCGCGTTTCGCTAACCATGTTAACATCATGAGCAGATGATTAAAACCCAGTAGTGTTTTATTTTGCTTTTATATTACCATTTCGGTCATCCTACATATGCTGCGAATGCACGTCCACACCCGAGGAAAATTTCCTTCTAAATGCGAACGCGAATGGTAACATTCACCAAGTGTATTCGCGGCTTTAGAGATGCTATCAATATTTTATCTTTTACCTACGACCACTATGTAAGATACACGATCAAAAATAAATAAAAAAATACACGATCTACATGTCCAGTTAATAGCTTATCACTACTACGACCCCTCGACTATAATCCTCTTATATCATAGAAACAGTTAAATTCTAAAAATTCATTGTATGTACATTGACATTAGCTTTCAAGGTTTCATTTTTATATGTGGTCGTAGGTAAAGTACTCGTATAGTATGTATGTGGTGTTGCAAAAGCATATTGCTCACACATTGCCATTCACAGCAGTCATCTAATAGTGTGGAAACACAGTGCAAGCAGGTTTTCCGCTTACCGGTAGTCGGCGCCGATCTGGGTACATATTCTTGACATCGTTCACAACTTTGCGTATACGCATCACGTGTATTGTTATATGGCTTTTTCGGAGATGCGAGCAGGGTTCGAAAGTATGTAGTTAATTAAGAGGTAATTTACCTGGTTAACTACGTTAATGAACTACGTATTGATATTATGATAAAATAAACATCCTATAAATAAAAATGTTCTTTTTGATAAAAACATGTAATGCATAGGCTTCTATTTAATTAAAGAATTATAAATTTATAAAAATCAGAATATAATGGATAACACAATATATTAAAATTATTATAAAATACGAAAACTCAAAATATTAGAACACATTATGTAAAGTTTTTAAATATTAAACACATTATGTAAAGTTTTTTTTTTTTTTTTCTAAAGTTTCAACTTATTATAACCTCACCTCAAACCTTTGATATTTAAAAGTTACATACATAGGTTACATAAACTTAGGGATGTAAAATGACGGTCATATATTTTTTGTGACATGACATTGTCATTTATGTGTTTTTTTGTCATTTACGGTCATTTAACTTAAATGTAAAAAAAATAAGTTGCTAAGCAAGTAAAGATAAAGATATATTAAGAAATGCAAACAAACTTAAACAAAGATCAGTCTTAGTGGTTCTACGTTCACAGCCAAATACAAAACAAAAAAATAATAAATTCTGATACCTAAATGAGCTTAAAGGCATAGCTTAGATATACTTTTAAAATAAAATAATAACATTTTCAATAACAATGAAACAAAACACAGCTATATATCACACTGAGTAACTAAACTAAGTAACTAAGGTCCATTTGTTTTTAAAGAAATCATGGAATAAAGAGATCTCCAAAAAAATAAATGATAAGAGTGTCATAAAAATAAATGACGTGACCGTCATTTTCATTATGACCGTGACGTGACAATGTCAGAAAAATTTGCTCACATTCCTACATAAACTACACCCTCTACATAAACTACATTAACTACATGTAATGTAGTTTTTAAGAGTAACATGTAGTTTTCCGAACCCTGGATGCGAGCGATATTTGAAGATGTGAGTGGTCAAGAATAGGTACCCTGAGACGGCGCTGGTTGCCGGTGAGCAAAAACCTGCCTCCGCTATGTTTGTACCCATACACTCGTCCCTATTTACTTTCCTATTTACACATTCTTTACATAATATATCCACTTTTTTACTTAATTTAATTGATTTTATTCAAGTTTTTTTTTTCTCAAGACTTAAAAATGATCCCAATTTTTATTTTTTTCTTGTTAATGTTTTACCACAGCTTATTCACTAGCCAGTTAGTTATCTTATTATTTTAGTTTCTCTATCTAGTTGTTGAGTATCCGCGGTTTACCTGCCGCGCCTGTTCCTATTCATATGCAGGCCGTCAGAGCACCAGTCTCGATAATTTTTATAAACGAAGTATCAATGGACATAAAATATGATAAGTGTATAGTAATATAGTGATAAGTGTATAGTATAGATAATACCAAATAAACTTTTAGTCACGTGATTAAGCTTGGCCGGTACAATGCCGACTTCTACATATTTGCTTTAAATGATAATATTTTTAACAAAGTTAATATATTAACAGTTATTATTTACATCAACAAAACTCATCTCCCTAACAGGACATAAAGGGCCATTATTACCGCTTTCCCGTTCGAAATATTCTAATAAGATTGCAATAAATTTTTTGCCACGGCTGTTAAGCTGCTTTGACATCTTGTACACGTCGCACTACGGTTCTAAAAAGAACAATTTTAGGAACAACTGCAAGGTCTGCTAGTAAAAATTTTAAGCCTAAACCAGAGAAATAGAAGGGATAGAGAATGAGCGTCAACATGCGCAGAAGGTCTAATCAAGTTGAGCGCCATATTCCAGGTCTTCGTGTCATTTTGTATATAGGTGGCAATCTATAAGTAATCAAATATCAATTTGCTGTTTTCAACCATACGGGGGGCAATTTAAATTTAGTGAAATTCTATTTAATATGATTTATTTAATTATCAGTTTCAAAACTGCGTACAATATTGGTATATAATACAAATACATTAAATATACGAATATTCTGACAAAAGGCGCTACGGACAGATGACCTGTTCGTCGTTAAACACTCGAAATGATATTAAATAATTACAATATTTCATGTTTACTTGTACTGAATTACGTGTTTCAATTTAAAATTTTTGCAAATTTGGTAAAAATTGTTCTAAACAACTTTTTGTTCAAGTTGTATATTCATAAAAAACATTTGGTTCATAATTATTTTTGATGATTGCCTACCTTGTATTTTTAATATAAACCTAGAAAAAATATGTTTTTGTTTTATTTTTTTTATTCGTCCCTTCAAATTGTGTTTCAAAAACTGTTACATAACATGTCCTCTAACAAATATTTTCATAATACATAAACATCATTGATTTTATTAAGGGTATTATTATTAGTATTTATCCTGGTTTTTGTCGACAATAAAAACTCAATCTTGTAATAGAACATCAATTTTATATTTCGTAAAATTATTTTGATACAAATTCAATTTGTCAAAATTCAAGTCATTAATATATTGATAAACAACCCAAATTATTCCTAAATATTTTATTATAAAAAAAACTGTTACCGGTAAGTTTGTAAAACACATTATGGTTTGTCGTAATACTAGAAAAAATCATTTATTTTTTGCACAAAAGAAGCTTGTCGATCCTTATTTGTCCATAACAAAATTCTGTATGTACAACATACATATACCTAATTTATTATTAAGAAAATTAGATTATATGATCTCAGAATTTTAAGAAATTTTTTTTAAGATAAAATAGTTTCTTCTCAACTGTAATATTGTCAACTTTGGCCTGTATTTTATCTATTTAAAAACATGGGATTGACAATCCCCTTACTAAAATACATACTGGAAGGTACCGATTAAGTTTCATTGCATCAAATACCTTTGCTATAAATCCTGGCTCACAATTTAAGGCCATTGCAAAATGCTTTTGAACTTCATCATAGATTTTACAAGAATAAAAGTGTAATATTGAAACAAAGTAACATTGTAAGCTTCATGACTAATAGCACAGAATATCTAGCTACGCAACAGAAGCCTCGTTACATGTATAAAATTGTAGGTAGCAAAAGGAGACAGGTTTTAAAAGTCTGTCTCCAAATCAGATATTTTGATGTGGTAGTTTCGCTACTACATAATAGAGGGCAATAAATTTAAAAGAAAACAGTTTTCTACAAACAAAATGTAAAAGAATTTTGTGCAGTGTTGCCATTGTGTAATTCATATCGTAATACTTCCTGATAAAGCCTACCTTCAAATTTGCTACATCATTTAAACATATTAAAATAGATCAGAGCTGTTTTTTTCAGTTTGCCATGTTAGTTGGAATTAAATCTTATGAGCTAAATTACAATCACTTTCTGACGTTTGATTGTATAATTGAATCCTGAATTTTCATTGTAATTCGGCGACAATATAATAAGTATTGTTCTACTATTATGATACCACTTCCTGACGTTCAATTGTGTTCATACCAAGTTCATATCGTATAATCGGGAAAAAACGGCGTTAGCCATGGCTATATGAAATGAATATCGCTGTCATTTTATATGTAAATTTATATGGGAAATGTCATCGATCGTCCTTTTCCAGCCAACTGGACGCCGTTTTTTCGGTATCATACGGTATTTGATATATGCTATTTTTCATGACATTTACAATATTATGGTACCATGAAGCATATCAAGTGATACCATAATATAGTACCATATTACGATACATGGCGTTCGATTGGGCTTAAACTTGGTATACTATATCTTCAGTGACATTGTAATATCATGGTACCATGGAGCATATAAAGTGGTACCTTCTATAGTACCATATGCATTGATGACATAGCAATATTAGGTACATGGCGGCAATAGGGCTTAAACTTGGTATACTACGTATTTTCGGTGACATTGTAATATGATGGTACTATGATGCATATCAACTGGTACCATAATATAGTACCATATTATGTACATGGCGTTCGATTGGGCTTAAATTTGGGATACTACATATCTTCGGTGATATTGTAATATTATGGTACCATGGAGCATAATAAGAGGTACTATAATATAGTACCATATTACGATACCATTTCCTGGCGTTCGATTGGGCTTAAACTTGGTATACTACGTATCTTTGGTTACATTGTAATATGGGGGTACTATGGTGCATATAAAGTGGTACCTTAATGTAGTACCATATTTCAATACCATTTCCTGGCGTTCGATTGAGCTCATATTTGATATATACTTGCGTATTTTTGATGACATTGCATTATTATGGTACCATGAAGCATATCAACTGGTACCATAATATAGTACTATATTACGTACATGGCGTTCGATTGGGCTTAAACTTGGGATACTACGTATTTTCGGTGACATTGTAATATGATGGTACTATGATGCCTATAAAGTGGTACCTTAATATAGTACCATATTACGATACCATTTCATGGCGTTCGATTGTTCTTAAATTTGGTATACTACGGATCTTCGGTGACATTGCAATATTATGGTACCTTAAAGCATATCGAGTGGTACCATAATATAGTACACTATTATGATATCATTTCCTGGAGTTCGATTGGGCCCAAATTTGGTATACTTGCGTTTCTTTATAAAGATTTGTTTAATTAGTAATTTTAATTTATTTTACGAATTTTAATTTATTGTTCGATGTCGGTCATGTCGTGACAGCAACTTTTATGCCGAACTAATATATTATTAATTATACCTGTGTCACTTTTTAAAATCTACCTAGGTCTATATAAATAACGTGGCAAACGGAAGAAATTTGTTATTATAGTATTTTTTAGTCAATTTTGCAACATTTTTTGTACTGCATTTTAATAAATTATTTCCATTATTATTAAACTTATATTTTATTACTAACGTTCCAGCATTAATAAATATCACTATCAATCGCCCTGTATATTATTAGTTTTAAAGGTAATTAAAGGTATTTTCTTAGTTAACATTATAAGGTAGTGTATATTAAAAATGTTTATGTTTATGTTTTGTAATAATATACTTAAAACTATTTTAATAGCCAAAGGAATAATTAATATAAGTGTATCTGATAAGAAAAGAAGAATAGAAAGAAACACATACTGCATTATACACAATAAAAAGAATGGGATGCCAATTCAAGTCTTTTTGAATCTGGCAACTGTGCATATTTAGCCGAGCTACAAGGCCGTCGACGAGCCGTCGATCCAAAACCGAAAGTTCAAAATTTCTAATTATATTCTGATTATGATATTGTCGCGCCATCTAGTATTCTATTTGTGCAATTTTAGCTCTTTCATTTCGAGTATTTTTCTGTTGCGTAGCTAGATATTCTGTGCTAATAGTCTCATTTTTAACACTCTTTAACTATCTCGTTAACAATAATTATGAATATTATATGATTTTTCTCAGTGATTTGTGGTACAGATACAAATTAATATATGCCCCATAACAGTTTTTAAATAAGAAACTTCTGCCTACAGATTTAATTTTCTTATTGGCATAATACCCTTTCTTCCTATATAAATCTTGCCATTTTTTCAGTCCAATGTTCCTTGTTTTTACAGTTGTAGGAATACTAAAAATGTTGACTATAGAACTCGATACTATGTTTGAAAAAGCCTTCATACCTGTAACTGTGCATAAATCTAATTAACTGAATTCTCCTCCTCTTGACACTCTGAACACAGCTGCTGCTAATGTTAGAAATATTTAGCACAAAACTACAACTACCTACAACAAACTTTACAATAAAAATGTTAAATTTTCGCTGTTCGATTAAAATACCCTATCTTATGTTTTCTTTTCCTCCAAATAATCTTCTTGTCAAGTAAGGACCAATCTTATTTGATATATTTCTGGTCACTTGAACTTGTGCTTTCATGGACACTATAAGAGTGCACTGTTTTACAGAACCACGAACATTGATTCCAAGTATCTTCTTCCTCCACACGTAATAAAAACATCCTCTTTAAATGGCCACATCATACACTTATTTTTGACCATTCCCAATTACAATCACGATTTTTACACAAATCGCCTTTAGGAAAACTAAAAATAAACAGTTTTGGATCATCTGTAAACACGATTATGTTGTATAAACTTACACATGAAAACTAATCATTTTTCCCGGCGTATTAGCTTTCTTAGAATGACTATGACAATATACAACAAGCCTTTTTGAATTAGTGTTTAGAATAATTGAGGTAATAATAAATTTTAACTAGATAACCACACAAACGAAAAAAAAAACAAAACAAACAGATGTCAATTAAAGAGGGGAAGTGACAGCGAGACCTGGAAGATGTCTGCCATCTTGCCGTCGACAAAAATTTGGATGCGCACTCGTCGAAGCTCATTCTCCCACTTCCATATCTCTGGCCTAAACCAAAAACTCGTAATATAAAACTAAAGTGTCAAAACGAATCAAAATGTCAGGAAATAAATAAATGCGGCTTGACATTTTCTACAGCAGAGCTACCACCTGAATCGCCAGCTGGAAATTTAAATTCCAGTTTGTCAGCCCGGTGCCGAATATGTCCATGGTTGGCAACAATGAACTTAATAACCGCGCCCTCGATGACGTAACTAAAAATTTATTTGGTATCGATCATAGGTCTGCAGCGTTCTATGTTAATAATATTAGGGTTGGCTATCTAATAAATCGGCTGTGGTTTACTAAAAATGAAAGGAAATTATGACATTTGACTAATTTTAGATACATTTTTTATACTTTTTCCATTCCTTCGCATATACTTATTACCAACACTCAATATATAATATACTGTTACATAAAAAATGTCTATATCTATGTGGCGGATTCATCTCTCCAAAAAAATTCTATATGGGTATTTTAATTGTCACTGCAAGAAAATCTACAAAATAAATTAGTTATTTTTTTTGTAAACACTGCTGGGCGTTAAGCATGATTTTCATGCATCCGTTGTCCGACGATACGATGATACGATATTAATTTTATTAGTTGAATTTAAAGACTTCGGTTGGTTAGAAACGGTTAACCAATCGAAGCCTTTAAATACAACCAATGAAATTAATATCGTATCAACGTATCGTCGGACAACGGATGCATGAAAATCAAGCTTTAATCCATCGGAGACTAATAAAATTGTCAGCAGTGGCTTACAAATGAACAAATTTGCCTAACGGATAAAAAAATCTTTTTTTGTCGTCTAAAGCAAAAAAATACAAAGAATAAAGAAAAAAAACTATTTACAATATTTAAATGCAACGATTCCAGAAAACTTTAGTTTTTGTAAAACAGATACGTCTTCAAAAACCGTCGACGTTCTGTTAAAATGACATTATATCAAGTTAAACTTCAAAATTAACAATTACTTAATAAGGTAAAACCAAAAAGCTTCAAACTTTCTGTATGATTATTTTTAATTTGTTTTTAATTTTTACGTACGTTATGTTATTTATGTTATGTTCTTTAAAATCAAAAAATCGATTGCCATACATTACGAACATCTACAGATGCATGAGCAATACATTTATTTTTACTATTACATATCTATAGTATTTACAACCAAATATCTCAATTATTATAATGTAATAAAATAAGTAAAAATAAAATTCTTGGTTTCAGGTCATCTGCATGGGGCGATACTGATTCTATACAAGTTCCTATTGCAACACTTGATCAAGATTTAGAGGATGATTTTCAGATGCTGCCAGGTAATATTAATCTCTAGATTTTTTGATGCGATTATACTATGTTACATAGGGAAGTCAATAAAATATGGGTGAACACCACTTTATCAGAGACGTCGAAACAATTCCCAAATTAAATTTCTAATAAGTAAAACTTAGAGCGCATTTTTTGTGAAAAAAAAAAGACAAAGGCAGTCGCATTAAGTAAACAAATTGGCCAAAAAACTTTTTGTTGGTAGTTATGGCAAATGTCGGTTACCATGGGAATTTTCTTTGTAAATCCTGATGTTTGTCTGCCATTTTCAGATTTGTTCTTAGTTTTCTTTGAATTTGAAATTAAATCTGCGTTTTATCTTGTTAAAACTGCGATTTTTATTGCAATAAAATGCCAAAACCACTAAATAGTGGGAGGATGATTAAACAGAAACTGTTTTATCATCATTTTTTCGAAGAAAAAAATATGATTAATTTAAAAAAATAAAAAGTTCCTAAATATATCATAGTCAAATAACTATCTACTCAACATGTTTATTTTTTGTCAATAATGACATGTATTGACTGTTCCCATTCTAAATATCTTGAGAACGGTTGCTCAACGATTTTTACCAAGAGACATTTTTTACGTAGAAAATCACGGAAATGTGTATTTTTTCACTCAGTAGGTTTTATACAGGTACGGCCGAAAAGTTATTAGTTAAAATACATGTAGGTGGCGCCCCCTTCAAATAGGAGTCATATTGACATCAAAATCAAATTTCTCATGTCAAAAAACTTCCAGACACCAATTTTCATCCAAATAATGACGTTACTTCACAAATTATTTGGAAAAAATCGAAATAAAAATGAAACTTCAATACCCTGTATCTCCGAAACTAAGCATTTTAAGACATACTTTTATTCGAACTTTTTTACATATTTTTACCCTCAGAATATGCAGCCGAAGTTTCCGGAATACAGTTCGAACTACCCTCTATACTACTTTCTGAAAATATATAATCTTGTTGATGTTATGGATCGAAAATGTATAAACTAACTAATATTTATTCATGTAAATTTTGTATTCTTATAGTAAAAATATGGCCTATAATATTTAATTTTGTTTAAGGTATTGCTTCAACAGATGATCAAAAATGGACCTGTAAAAAGTGTACTCTAATAAATCAGGGTTGCGCGTTAACTTGCGAGGCGTGTTGTGGTTCTAAATTAAAATCCTTAAGTATAAATCAAGACAAGACATTAAGAAAAGGTGAATTTTGGACATGTTCTAAGTGTACGCTAAAAAATCCGTTGACGTCACTTTTATGCAAAGTTTGTAAAACAGAGAAAAATGTTTTGGACGTGCCCGTTCCACCGAAAAGTTCATCTCCAAAGAATTTAAGACTTGCTAACAAAAACAGTAGATCTAGTGCCGAAAAGAGTTTGGCTGTTCCGGCTGTTAAAAATAAGATTAATTTACGTAGTGACATTGAATTAGGTAAGTGCATTCTTTTTTATACTAATTAATTTGATACAATTAAGCCTCATTCAGAACCTCGAAATTAGTGGAATTAATTAGTGGTCTCAATTATACTTTATATTTAAACTAGCGTGTACCCGCGATTTCGTCCGTGTCGAATTAATCATTTGTAATGGTGATACTAAAGAAAGGCAAGAATTTCCATTAACATACAAACTGGATAAAATTTTCTCACATTTATGTCAGCATGAGGAAAAACAATATGGCGATATTATTATATAACTTGGTAATATTTGAGGGGTAGTTTCATCTCGTTGGAATTTGACTTTCGAAAAATCCGTTTGCCAAAAATAAGCTTTTACGTCAAGCAGTTTTAGCAGAATCGTGATTAATCAATTACCCAACTTTTTGGAACACCCTGTATGATTTTTTAAAAATTTCAAAATATGTAAAAAAAAACAAAATAAATTATGCGTGTCTAAGCGTTTTTGCGAAAGACTAACCGTTTTTTAAATTACAAATATTGTAATATTTGAAGGGCGTTTTTACCCTCTTGATATTTGAGATTCGAGAAACCCCTCCTTATCGGACCTCTACACCCCACAGTCCATCCGTTAGCCAAAAATCAGCTTTAAACGTCAAGCAGTTTAAGCAGAATCGTTATTACTCAGTGGTCATATTTTATGAAACACCATGTATAAATTTTCAAAAAATCTTAAAATATGTAAAACAACAAAATAAAATATTCGTGTTTAAGCGTTTTTTCCGAAAAACTCACCGGTTTTTAATAAAAGTTTAAGATCTCTCGCAATGTCTAAAAAAATATAATTAAAATTTATAGGTTATCCTGGCAACAGGTTACGGTAGTCAGTTGCATAAAATAATAAATACAAGAAGAAGTGTCAAGTCAATGTTAAATTATGGAAACAGCGTGGCTGCCTGGGTAACTAATTTTCAGATATGGCGGCTGGGACATTTGACATGGCATAGACATGACAATTTCAATTTTATGAAATTTATTTCCGTTTTCGGTTTTTAATGGCGGGCTGTTCAGGAGGTTTAAATGAGGGTTAATATACTTTTTACTCTTTCTAGTAGTAAATAATACAACAAAATTACTCAAAAATATTTATTTGGAATTTAGAACAATGTAAATATGCAAATCAACACAATTAAAGAGCTATAATCCAATAAACTACTGTATCAATATCAAATATTTAAATAATATCAGAGATGCTGTGTTAAAGTGAATTAGTAAAGTAACAGAGTGCATTGACTTACAGAAACTTGAAGATAAATAAATGTTTTCACAGCTTCACGGGCATAAAACTTAATAACTGGAAGCAGGAAAAAGGCAACCGGAACCCACACAAAACCTGAAATCAAAAAAAATATGTAAAAAACATAAATATAGGTACATAAAACTTTTGTGAATCAAACAGGACTTGAATGAAAATAAAATGAATAAAAAATATGATACATATACATCTAATACCTCATTTGTATTTTAAAAATAATCTACATACATAGATTTATAGCATTATTGCTATGAAAATACATAATAGGTACCTATGTGATATGTAATTACGCATTTCTGTTCATCTTGTAGAAAATTAATGTAGGCTAATAATAGTTCAATAATCATAATTTACCTTGTATAACTTGCTTTCAATTGCTCAAAATCACCGATCTGTCTTTAAAGTAGAGATACGGAAAAATCCTTGGCAAAGAATATCCCAAGATCCTTGGGTTTAAAGCTAAAAAAAATATAAAAACAGTTAATATATTACCTATTTTTACATATAATATGGCCCATACCTACTACACGCAGAAACGTCGATTTCATCATTTTCTTCATGTAATTAATATCATATATACTTTATTAAAGTGTTAACAAGGAACTTTATATCAAAAAACATCTTTGTACTTATAAATTTCAGCCGAAATATCAGAAACAAACTTCCAATCAAATCTAAACGGCAAAATTAAAATGGCGCCCGACCTTGCCAGAGGCTCCTCAGGGAGCTGACGCTGACACACAGACAAAAGACAAAAGAACAGGACGCCGACGTGCATAAAAATGTTCCGTAGCAGAAGTTGACAGAAATCATATAGAAATATTCAGTTTTTTGTCTAGGACAGTCTAGAAGGCCATGCTTTCTGCCTGGGTAGAACCATAAAATAATAAATACAAGAAGAAGTGTCAAGTCAATGTTAAATTATGGAAACAGCGTGGCTGCCTGGGTAACTAATTTTCAGATATGGCGGCTGGGACATTTGACATGATTTGACATGACATAGACACTTCATTGACATGACAATTTCAATTTTATGAAATTTATTTCCGTTTCCGGTTTTTAATGGCGGGCTGTTCAGGAGGTTTAAATGAGGGTTAATATACTTTTTACTTTTTCTAGTAATAAATAATACAACAAAATTACTCAAAAATATTTATTTGGAATTTAGAACAATGTAAATATGCAAATCAACACAATTAAAGAGCTATAAACCCATAAACTACTGTATCAATATCAAAATATTTAAATAACATCAGAGATGCTGTGTTAAAGTGAATTAGTAAAGAAACAATGCACTGACTTACAGAAACTTGAAGATAAATAAATGTTTTCACAGCTTCACGGGCGTAAAACTAACTGGAAGCAGGAAAAAGACAACAGGAACCCACGCAAAACCTGGAATCAAAAAAAAAATATGTAAAAAAACCTTAAATATAGGTACATAAGACTGTTATGAATTAAATCAAACAGGACTTGAATGAAAATAAAATGAATAAAAAATATGATACCTATGCATCTAATACCTCATTTGTATTTTAAAAATAATCTACATACATTATTGCTATGAAAATACATAATAGGTACCTATGTGATATGTAATTACGCATTTCTGTTCATCTTGTAGATAATTAATATAGGCTGTAGGCTAATAATAGTTCAGTAATCATAATTTACCTTGTGTAACTTGCTTTCAATTGCTCAAAATCACCGATCAGTCTTTAAAGTAGAGATACGGAAAAATCCTTGGTAAAGAATATCCCAAGATCCTTGGATCTAAAGCTAAAAAATATAAAAACAGTTAATTTATTATACCTATTTTTACATAAAATATGGCCCATACCTACTACACGCAGAAACGTCGATTTCATCATTTTCTTCATGTAATTAATATCATATATACTTTATTAAAGTGTTAACAAGGAACTTTATATCAAAAACATCTTTGTACTTATAAATTTCAGCCGAAATATCATAAACAAACTTCCATTCAAATCTAAAACGGCAAAAATTAAAATGGCGCCCGACCTTGCCAGAGGCCTCGGGAGTTGACACATGGCTGACACACAGACAAAAGAAGAGGACGCCGACGTGCATAAAAATGTTCCGTAATTGAAATTGACAGAAATCATATAGAAATATTCAGATTTTTGTCTAGGACAGTCTAGAAGGCCATGCTTTCTGCCTGGGTAAGACCGCGCCAGAACTGTTTCCAATTTTCCGGTTTACTGTCACCCCCCTGGGTAGAACCGCGCCACAACTGTTTCCAATTTTCCGGTTTACTGTCACCCCCCTGGTCAGTTGTATCTTTAGATCTTATAAACTTGGTGGATAAAGCTATACCCATTGTTTAATAGTCATTCAGTGTTTTTATTGTTTTCTGTTTTCCTATTTTTATGTGTAAATTTGCCTTTAGTTATTGTACGTGTGGGACGACCTTAAGAGTCTGTCTGTCAAAAGAGACGAGAGAAGATAGCGATGGTAATACGTCCGCTGTTTTAATACAAGTTTTTAATTGCAATAGTAATACCTCTGAGTAATACTATCAACAAAGAAAAAGTTCAATCTTCAACATATTGGTCCTTCGAGCCGGATAGCTGGTGAAGTTTTCAATTATTTCAAAGATTCAAAGAAAATCCTTACTTTTCCGATCAATTTCTATCGTTCAAGGTCGAAGCCGGACGAGTCCATTTGCGCAAGACGATCCAGAATAGGGGAGTTGCGTAGTAAAAGCGGCGGAAGAGTGGACTGGTCCAACTGCATCGAAAAAGGGGAGGACACATCGACGAAAGCAGAAAACAGAAAAAGATATGTTTTGAGATTGCGCCCGGGATTGGTAAAATGACGACGCAAATTGCCGGTGAGTCCGTTCCTATTTACCTTTATTATCCTTTTCTTTCAACGGGAAGATAGGTTTGCTCCAAATTCTTATTAATAGGTTTTAATATCAAAATGCAAAACGAGGAGACAAGCGTTCTTTTAGGGAAACGTAGAGTTTTCAAACAACGACATACATTATTTGAAGAATATTTTAAAACCCTAAAAGAATCCTTTCAAGATACTTCGCCTACCGATCGTGAAAAGTCTAAGATTGCTGAATTAAAGTTATGTTTAGAAAAATACGAGAAATTAATACAAGAATACGAGATAGTTCAAACAGAGATAGAGATAAGTTCAGATGATTTAGATACACAAACGTTGGAAAGAGAAACTTTTGAGAAAAAGGTAGGTTCAAGTAACAATAATAAAAATGACTTCAATGTAAAACTATCAGAAATAAAATTACCGAAATTTACAGGTTGTTACGATAATTGGTTAGAATTTCGAGATACATTCGATTCACTTATCAATAAAAATTCAAGTATAACAAACATTCAAAAATTTCACTACCTGAGGGCAGCATTGGAAGGCGGTGCCATGCAAGTTATTCGTTCTATAGAATTTTCGGCTGACAATTACCAGATAGCGTGGAATGCTTTACTTCAAAGGTATAATAACAATAGCGTTCTGGTAAACAATCATGTCAAAGCTATATTCGAAATGCCCACATTATCTAAAGAGTCACCGAGTGACTTAAGAAAAATATTAGATAGTCTCTCTAAGCATTTGTGCTCATTAAAAAACTTAAATCAACCGGTAGAGTTCTGGGACACACTTCTTGTTTTTGTATTAAGTCATAAGTTAGACAAATAAACACTTCGAGCATGGGAGCAAGTTAAAGCA